CAGAATTTTTATGGGTGTGAGATACAGAAGCAATTTTACTGTGTTTCTTGTACATATAAATAAACAATTGTCCCAATACCACATACTGAATAACTTATCTCCTCCCACTGACCTGATCTGCTACCTCTGTAAAAGGTTGAGTTCCCATATGTGTATGGTTCTGCTTCTAAGCTCTCTCTGGTGTTCCAGTGGCTTAAATATATATAAGGTTGCCAGATTTAGCATGCAAAATACATACCATTGTTTATCTGAAATTCCAATTTAACTGGACTTTCTGTATTTTATCTGGCAAACCTATTTGTTTGTCCCTGTGCCTATATTGCACTGTCTTAATTACTATAGATTTCTAATGGGTCATGGTGTCTGGTAGGGCATGTTTCCCTATCTTGTTTCTGGCTTCAGAATTATCTTGGTTATTGCTGGCACTTTTGCTCTTTCCAAGACACTTTAGAATCAGCTTGTAAATTTTTTGACATTTACATTATGGGCTAGTATGTCAATTTTTGTAAATGTTTCCTTTACAAAATGCTTGAGAAGAATTTGATTTCTCTAAATGTTGGTGTAGAATCCTATGGTCCATTAGATCAAGATGTTAATTTCACTTTTTCAAGTCTTCTAGGTATTTACTGATTTTTTTACCTGCTTGATATATCAATTACTGGGAGAAGAATGTTAAGAACTCTCACTATAATGGTAGATTTGTCAATTTCTCTTTGTAATTTGTCAATTTTTGCTTTGTAGGTTTTGGAGCTGTGTTATTAGGAAGCATAAAAGCATATAACTGTGATGCCTTACAGGAGAATTATACCTTTCATCATTCTGTACTGACCCTCATTATCTTTAATAAAGCTTTTTGCCTTAAAGACTGTTTTTTTTCCTGGCAATAATATAGCTACATCAGGTTTCTTTGTTCAGTATTTGCCTGACATATCTTTTTCTGTCCTTTTACTTTCAACATTTCAATGCTGTTATTTTTCGGTAGTAAATCTTGTTAACTCCATATATCTGGAGTTATTTTTTCCTTTCTCTGCCATTATATTTTAGGCGTCTTTTGCAAATCAATCAAATATTGTCTTTTAACAAGTGGCTGGGTTAGTGTTTTTATATTTAGTATAATTTCTTATGTATTTGGAGTTATTTATGCCATTTGATTTTGTCCTTTCTATTTTCCTGCTTTTCCTATGCTCCTCTTTTTTCTAGTTTCTTGGAATCTTATGGATTCTTTTAGGCTTTTTGCCCTTTAAAATCCTTGGTTTAATTCTACCCCTTTGGAAATTATACATTAACTTACTATTATTTTAGCTGTTATCATTACATTTTTAAAATAATTTTCTCACTTTATTTTAAAATCATAAAGTTTGCATAGAGGGGAAGGAAAATAACTGAATGTTAACAATTGCTGTCTTAATTGTTTTTAAATGTTTCCTGTGGTTTCTGACAAGTATTCTTCTCTAAGTGTTCTATCAGCCTCTTCAACTCAGAACTGGTCTTAAAAGTGGTCTATTTTTTCAGCTCAAGTTATTGAAGTATACTTTACATATAGTCACTCTGGCTCTTCTTAGGTGTTCAGTTCTATAAGTTTGACAAAGCATACAATTGGTTGGCATCCTCCACCACAATGGAGATATAAACATTTATTATCATCTGGTAAAGTTCAATCTCCTCTCCCCTTCCACCTGTCTCTGACAATCTCTGATCTTATTTTTATCCCCATAGTTTAATCTTTTCCAGAATGTCATAGAAAAGGATCATATAGTAAATATTCTTTTTTTGGGTGGGGGTCTGGCTTATTTCGCTAAGCATAATTATTTTGAAATTCGCCCATGTTGTAGCTTACAACAGTACTTCATTTTGTAATTGCCAAATAATACCCTATTGAATGAATATACTACATTTTGTTTATCCATTTGCTTTTTCCCCACTTTTTTCTATTATAAATAATGCTGCAGTGAACATTTGTGTACAAGATTTTGTGTGAACTTATGTTTTATATCTTTGGGGATTTTGTCAAATCTGAAGACTGCTTTGAGTAATATTGCTATCTCAACAATATTATGTTTTCTAACCATAAACAAGGAAGGAATGTCTTTCCATTTATTTAGGTCTTCTTTAATTTTTTTCAGCAATGTTTTGTAGTTTTCATTGTACATATCTTTCACCTCCTTGGTTAAATTTATTTCTGGGTACTCTATTTCTTTGAATGCTATTGTAAATCAAATTGTTTTCTTAATTTCCTCTTCAAATTGCTTATTGCTCGAGTATAGAAATACAACTGATTTTTGTGTGTTGATCTTATACTCTGAAACTTTGTTGAATTAGTTTATTAGCTATAGTAGCTTTTTTTGTGGATTCTTAGGGATTCTGTATATATGACCATGTCACCTGTTAGTAGAAATAGTTTTAAGTCTTCCTTTCCAATTTAGATTCTTTTAATTCTTTTAATTAATTCTCTATTTGCCTAACTGCTCTGACTAGAACTTTCAGTACTATGTTGAATAGCAGTGGTGAAAGCGGACATCCTTGTCATGTCATCGATCTTAGGTGGAAAATTTTCAATTGCTCACCACTGAGTATAACGTTAGCTTTGAGTTTTCTATAAATGTCCTTTATCATGTTGGGGAAGTGCCTTTCTATTTCGAGTTTTCTGAGTGCTTTTATCTTAAATGGGTGTTCCATTTTGTCAAATGCTTTTTCTGCCTCAATTGAGAGGATTGTGTTTTTTTTCCCCCTTTTTTCTATTAATGTGGCATAGTACAGTTATTGATTTTCTTATGTTGAACTATCCTTTATTCATGGGATAGATCTCACTTCGTCATGGTGTATAATCCTTTCACCATGCCATTGGATTTAGTTTGCTACTGTTTCATTCAGGATTTTGCATCTTTATTAATAAGGGATATTGGTCTATATTTTTTTGTGGTGTCAGAGGAATACTGGCCTTATAGAATAAGTTAGGGAGTATTCCCTTTTCCTCTTTTTTTTGGGAAGAGTTTGAGAAAGATTGGTAATATTTTTTTAAATGTTTGATAATAATCACCAATGAAGTTATCTGGTCCTAGTCTTTTCTTTGTTGGGAAGTGTTTAATTACCAATTCAATTTATTTACTTGTTACAGATCTGTTGAGATTTTCTTTTCTTTTCTTTTTGAGTCATTTGTGGTCATTTGTGTTTTTCTAGGAATTTGTCCATTTCACCTAGGTTATATAACTTGTTGGCATATCATTGTTCACAGTATTCTTTTATAATACTTTTTATTAAATTTCTGGAAGGTCAGTGGTAATGCCCCACTTTAATTATTGATTTCAGTTGTTCAAAGCTTCTCTCTTTTGTCATTCTAGCTAAAGATTTGTCAATTTATTGGTCTTTTCAAAGAACCAATTTTTGGTTTTGTCAATTGTATTGTTTTTCTATCTTCTATTCACTTATCTCTGTTCTAATATTTACTCTTTCTTTCCTCTACTATGTTTGGATTTAGTTTGCTCTTTTTTCCCTGTTTCCTTAAGGTGTAAAAGTATGTTACCAATTTGAAATCTTTTTCGTTTTTAATGTAAACATTTATAGCTATAAATTTCCCTCTGGGTACTGTTTTCACTTCATCCCATAAGGTGTTGTGGTATGTTGTGTTTTCATTTTCATTTGTTTCAAAGTATTTTCTATTTTTTTGTAATTTTTTTTACCCATTGATAGTTTAAGAGGGCATTGTTTAATTTTCAGCAACTTGTGAATTTTCTAGTTTTCATTGTGTTATTGATTTCTAGTGTCATGCCGTTGTGGTCAGAAAAGATACTTTGTATGTTTTTGATCTTTTAAAAGTTTTTGAGGCTCATACTGTGACATAAAGGTCTATTCTGGAGAGTGTTCCATGTGCACTTTGAGATGAATGACAAAATAAAAGCACAGCATATCAGGACATATGCAATGCAGCTAAAATACTTTAAGAAGGAAATCTGTAACTCCACTTACATTGGAATCCCACTGTCTACTCCTCTGATTGTACTTTCCCATTCCTTAGAGGTAAACACTCTATTGAAATTGGTTTTTTTGATCCTCGTGGTTTTCTTTATACTTTCATTACCAATGACTGCATCTCTAGTCAGAATGGATCTCATAATGTAGGTGTCCTTGCACTCCTTACTATTGTTACACCACCTTATGTTTCTGAGATGCTCTGTGTGCAGATTCCTGTAGTTATATTTCACTGATGCTTCACCACTGTGCATGATTCCAATGATTATACCACCATGTATTTTTTTGGTGTTCTATTAATGGGCATTTCCCCCTAAAGATTTATTATCACAGTGTATCAAAGAATATTCTTGTTATTTGTTTCCTTGTGCTCACCTGTCAATTATTTTTTCACATTGTGTACCAAGGTTGTGCAATTGCTGGATCATTACGTAGGATCACACTCAGCTTCACTACATACTTACTAAGAGTTACCACATTGCTCTTCAGAGTGGCTGTACACTCACCAGTAGTACCTGTCATTTTCATTTGCCCAAATCATGCATCTAAAGGGGAGGTTGCATTTCTGGTTCCAAACTTGGGCTCTGGAGTCAGGCAAACAGGGGCGATGATGATGGTTTTGTCTCTTAGTGGCTGAGTGAGCCTAAGGAATCTACTTAACTTCTCTCAGCCTCACTTTCTTGAGGTTTAGAAAGAAATTCTGACTCCTACCTCAAGGGATCGTTGTGAAGAGTTCAGGAAGAAATCTTTGTAAAGATTCCAACATGTTATTTGGTGTATCATCCACAATGCAAATGTTTGCTTCCTTCCCATCCCAACTGTTCCAGTCTTTGACAGGGATGAGGTTTCTTACCTCGATAGCATCACCACGTTTTAGTGAATATTTGCCAATGTAAGAAGAAGGGAAACACACATACTCATCTGTTTAACATAGGTATTTCAGTGCCATCTCTGTGACACGCGGTGTTATGGAGCAGCGCTGGGGCAAAGTCCTTATCCTTTCCATGGAACAATTCTGCTTTTTCTGTCCTCAGTTGGTGCCCTCTATGTTCACATCAGGACTGCACATGACCTGGGTGTCTGGGAAGATCTTGATGCCCAGGAAGAGGTGACTGGGGATCTACTGGGAGGAACACTGGAATGCGCGTCAGGAGCTCTTCCTAGGACTCAATGCCTGGGCCATCCCAGGGTAAGTTCCTTCCCCTGCATGTCCTACACTGTCACATGGGTGTTCACTGAGCATCTGTCACTCTTCACACCTTCGGTGGCCCAGGGGCTGCAGAGGTCACGGTAATGGTTTCACAAGGTCCAGGTCCTTGTGGAACTTATGGTAACCTCTGTAGAACCTCCTTCATATATAAAGAGGAGGAAGGGCTCACTGGAGTCGTCAGAGACTCCCTGAAGATGAGCTGGGCCTGGCACAGTGGGCAGGACTAATGGAAGCTGGATGGGAGGGAAGAGATGGGGAGTCCAGCCCGACTGGTGAAGAGTGGGGGCTCCCAGGTGAGTAGACATGGCTCAGAGGTAACTGATTGGACACACCAGGGGGCTGAGACCATCCTGGGTTAGGAACAATTGCAGGATTATTACATATTTGCTTCTTTGTGATATTACACAATCTTCTAGGAAGTCTGGGTGAGATCAAAGCCTTGCCTGACCTGGGAGATACTTGGTTAGAGGCATGTCCTCCTACCGCTACCTCCCCACCACCTTTTCTGATGCAGGCTAGGGTACTAAGAACAGCCAGGCATCACTTCTTCTCACTTTATTTTATTTTGGAGGGGTGGGGACAGTGTCTAACCTTGTCTGCTCCAGATCTGAGGTTCCTGCCTTTGGATATGGCCATTGAAGAGGTATAAAATGTTTGCATCCAACCACTGGCTTTCTTCAGCACAAGAGTTATAGGATGATGGTATGACAAGGGGCTGTGAACAGAGGGAGATTCTGGGATCATTAAAGGCATGATGTCACTCAAGGCTTATGAGAAGCCATGTGGGATCAATGGAATCTATATTTAGGAAGATTAGCAGTTATGCAGTACTTTGGGGTTAGGGACCACAGGCAGGGATCCCAGAGTATGTGATCAGTCAGAGATAAATTCCAGAACAAAATATTGGGAGCAGAGGGTAACACAGGATCCAGAGGTATTCTGGGTGAAGGCACACAAACTAGTTGGAGATGAGGGACGGAAAAGGGTATCATCATGACCACTCCCCCTGGAGACTTGCAGCTGCTTCTGGGCCTCCTTCCTCACAGAGGCTGCTGGGCCCTGAAAGGGGACATGAAGCGGGGCCTACCACGCATTCCACCGGCAACCTTTGTAAGATGTGCACCTTGTTGGAGGTGTCCATGAACTGGATGCCTCTGTTCATAATGAGCAGGAAAAGAAGAAATGTACAGGAAATAATGCCTTTTCATGGAGCTAAGCCCACATGAATTCCACAGCCTTATCTTTCCATAAGCAGAGTATGCCAGGACCCAGGGAAATGAACAGAGCAGCTGCCTCTGGGCATTTCTCTCATTACAGTTAGGGAGAATGGACACCACAGAGACCCACGGGATGTCTCAGTAAGAGGGCATTAGGAATAAAGTATTATGGGATTTGGGCTTGTGTTAGGTGATTTTGGAGAGGGTTCCAGGAAATGGAAAGATGGCAGGATGGGGAACTAAGCTTCCCAAGCCTCAGGCCTCCCATCCGGGGATTGAGCAGAGGACCTTCCCTCATAGGGTCCTTGTTTGGCATTTGATGAAATCACAAGGGCAGTGTAGGTCACACAGGTGTTTTGGCCTCAGGCACGCCTGGGATGTGAGGCTCAGCCTCCTCATCTGTAAAGAGGGAAACACCATGTGGACTCTGCAGGTATGTCAAGAGATTCAATATTATCACATAGATTAAAAGGTAAGTCAGTGTAGGGCGCCTGGGTGGCTCAGTCATTAAGCATCTGCCTTTGGCTCAGGTCATGATCCCAGGGTCTTGGGATTGAGCCCCACGTTGGGCTCCCTGCTCAGTAGGGAGTCTGCTTCTCCCTCTCCCTCTGCCTGCCGCTTCCCCTGCTTGTGCTCTCTCTCTCTGTCAAATAAATAAATAAAATCTTTAAAAAAAAAGATAAGTCAGTGTCATATTATGCACACAGTTAATAAGAATAGAGAGAATGATTATATGTCACCAGAGTTTAATAGAGAATTTTGCTTGCTTCAATTTTCCCTCTTTTCCAAGTTCATTTATATATTTTGGAAATGGATTTTCAACAGTATTCCACAAAGTAAATCGTTTAAACTTTCAAACCCACAGTTGTACCTCTGGGAGGTTCCTGTGGTCCTTGCCATGGAATACCTTGTCTGGTAAAAAGAAGAGATTCGTTTAGGAGTTCTCATGGGACCTTTTAGAGGAGGTAACATCAGTCCACAGCCTCCACAACTTCTCTACAATACCCGCCCCAGTTGTTCTCCATGGAACACCTCTGCGGTTCCACTGCTCAACTGGCCCATGTCCTGGGCATCCCTCTCAAAAAGTGCAAGAGGTTGGGACATCTGGGTAGCTCAGTCGGTTAAGCATCTGCCTTCAGCTCAGGTCATGATCCCAGGGTCCTGGGTTCGAGTCCCGCTTCAGGCTCCCTGCTCAGAAGGGACCCTGCTTCTCCCTCTGCCTGCCGCTCCTCCTGCTTGTGCTCAGCTTCTCTCTCTCTCTTTCTGACAAATAAATAAATAAAATCTTAAAAAAAAAAAGTGCAAGAGGTGAATCCTGGGGCGAAGCTTCAGATAGGACATTAGAAAGCTCTAGAGTCTTCAGTGCATTGTATGAAGCCACACAGCCCGTGAGACTTTTGGAACTCACTCTCATCGGACTCCTTGCAAATGAAAAAGTGTATCTGGAAATGGTGAGCTGGTGGAGTGACTAGATGATTAAGGATAATCAAACCATTATCTGTGTCTGAGGAAACTTCCCACAGGAAGTGAGGTTTAAACTGAGACCCGAGGGAGGCTAACCAGGGAAACTAACCAGGGAAAGAGGGGAGCGGAGAGCTAATCTGAGACCCCAGCCAGGTATCATGGTCAGGGAATACTCCAGGACTTGGTTTGTCCCTGAGGAAATCCTGTGTGGAAATCCACTACCCAGCAGTTGGGCATCTCTGGAAAATTGTGTGTAACTTCACAGCGCAGTTGTAGAGGAGCCTGAACCTCTTTTCCCTTTGCTCTGATCCCAGACCTGTAATATGATTTTCATCTGTGGAACCATAGAAAAGAAGAAAACTGCTGAGTAGTGTGATTTAATCATGATTTTGTTTTATATACTCTTTTACAACTCACAATGCAAAATAACTTTTAATAGGTACTTTTTCCAAATAATAAAAAATTGGAGATTAGTGTCATCTAATGATAAAATCCAGAATGGTGGCTTGGACATCATTTACCAGGAAAGGAGGGGCTCCATCAGAAAGAATTTTCTGGAAGTTTACTTGAAAATGAAATAATCTAGACAGAGCCCCCAGACATTAAATCACATTAAATCATGTGACAAGAAGTTTTCTTCACCTTCTTCCAGGATATAAAAAGCTGTGTGTGTGTGTGTGTATGTGTGTGTGTGTGTGTGAGAGAGAGAGAGAGATAATGTTAAAATATGTATAGATATATATAGTGAAACACATATGTAAGTGTGGGCATACAGATATAAATTTTGTTAAACTTTCTGTAATCTCGCTTTTAAAATTATGTGTATGTGTATTAAATGTGTGTGTATATATTAATATAAAGATATATTATATTTTGACAATATTTTTATAATCAAATTCCCAATCAGGAATAAACTACAACTTTATCTCACCTTTTTATGATTTCAAAATTATATGTATTTGTTTCAAAATTAAATGCAGCGGAAAAATGTGTATTGCTATTGAAAAAGTTTTTGTTATATTTCTTTGATCCTATTACATAGCAAGATGTCCATACATGGTAATTTAGTTTATATTCTCCAAATATATTTCTGTGTGTATAGTACTGTATAAGTAGGTTCACATGAACATATATATTGTTCTTCTAAATTTTAATCACTACATATATATGAGTGTGTATATCTTTTATAATATGCCTTTTTATTTATATATGTTATACTTATTTGTTCTTTAATCTTATATGTTTGTGATGCAGAACTTTTATTTAAATTATTTCATTGTAGATTTTGAATAACACCCTTCTAGGTATTCAAAGTTATTTTCATATTAAGATTATTTAATATCTGCCTGTGAAATATGCTGGAAATCTTTTCCCATAATTCACATTTCCTTAATGTTACTTCTTTTTGTTTTTGGGTAGACAAAGTCTTTTTTAACCTTTTAACCTTTCATTATTTTTTCTAAATAAATTCATAATATAGTTCACTGTAAAAAATTGGAACCAATTAATGTCCATTTGCTACTTAATGATGGTTGTTAATCATTGTTAGTGATTGTTAAAAAGAAAATTTGTGACTTTACTGATACTGAGGGAGTTGAAGATTTTGTCAGGAGAGTATGTGAAATGGTGGATTTTGGAATTAAGTTTGGATGGTAAACAAGATTTTTATGAAAGTGATAACAATGAGAAAGTTAAGATGTTAATGTGAGGAAGAGCATTGGTAATAATGAAACATGAAAAACCTTGGAGTAACAGAATTCATCCTTGAAACTTCTTTTTAGTCCGTATGCCTTTCTTTGCTATTTCATATTTTAGTTGAATATTAAAGAAACAATTTCCCATTAAGTTTGAGAGAGAAGTGATAGTCATGATGAACAGAGGACTGGAATCAAATACCCAGGCCCCAGATTCCAGACCTAGCACCGATCATTAGACTTGTAGTGAGTCACTTGCCCCCTGTGCTGGCCTCTGTTCTAACACACAATTATCCTCCATATAGAGATAAGTCTTTACTCAAATGTCACCTTCTTCAGAGAACTTTTATGACTGCACTACTTAAAAAAATTCAGCCCCACCCCGTTCCAGGCACTCCCTCTCCCCTTTCCCTGCATTACTTTTTCCAAAATAAAAATGATAGGAAAAACTAAGGTAGTGCTCACTTATGTGTTCGTATGTACTAACACATTTATTTCTCACATCAAGGGAAGTACTATTATTATTACCATGATTATTATTATTGTTGTTATTATATCCATCTATGAGATGAGGAAAGGTAGGCACTGAGAGGTTTAAGTACCC